TACGTTTACATGTTATTATATTTCCTATATTTATAATATATGTATATCTCTTGATCAATACTTTTTTTAATTTTTTTTCTTAATCTAGTAAATTTTCTTATTGTATGAAATTTGTAACCCTGTTTATACTACACACGACCTTTTCGGAAGCTTTAAGATAGTCCAAATAATTTATCATCGGTGTTTCTGATTTTAACAAGTTCAATAAAAGCCGCAGGCAAACTGATCTATCCTTGTAAATTTCTTTTTAATTGGGTTAGATGAAAATCCAATATACAAAATTCCTTTCAACATCAAGCAGGCTTGAGTATTATCTAGATTATGTTTTATATAAAAAAAAAAAGCATTTAACTCTTCAACGTGATTCTGGAAAAGGATAGACAATTTATGAATATGACGAATACATAATCTTTCAGTCAGTTTAATTGAAGTGTGGAGCTGGCATGTCAGTTATTGCTGTAGTAGTCCTTTAGTTAATTTATCAGTGTATCATTGCCATTTTGCTTAGTGTCTTAAAAGACTTTTGTTATCTATTCTGACATCGGACTCTGACTTCTTTTAAATTGAGTTTTACTGTGCGTATTGCTGTGTTTTGTTTATCAAGTTCTACATAGGCTAGAGGTATAGAGGGAGGGTTGAAATCTCATAAACATATAAATAAAAGCTACAGAAGGCAATATCATAAATATGACAAGATGTACATTTTTTTACTGTCAATTTTATTTGATATGGGTAGGTCACATGTATTCGACATTGACATTGTATAAGCCAGATGTATACTCCATGCTGAATTTTATTTGATGTATGTAACACGTAAACTCATTAACACCTGTGGATTAAATTGTAATATTTTCCTGTCCTCTAGGAACATAAAACTTACATAATTCACTACCCTTAACTAGACATAGATATCAGTAAATAAAACCGCAGACTTTCTCCTTAAAGTTTAGTGGTTTGTACATATATTGAAGGTGTGCATGTGGTCAGGGTTTAATATTTAACTGCAAAAAATAAAAAAGGGGGTCTCCCAACAATCTCTTTTGCATGGACTACTATATTTTCAATATAATACTTCAATGATAAGGTAAAATAGTAACATATGGTATTGAATAGTGATACCGCACCGGAAAGGATTTGCCGTGGCACCATGGGACGCTTAAACAATATACTATGTAAATATTGACACAATCGTGTTTATATGTTAGCTGAGATCGATAATTATGGAGCTTTTCTTAAAGGGGACCTCGATGTTTTTCGTCATTTGTATTATTAAACGACATTTTATGGATATACTAAACAAGGATTTGTATAGTACTATACAAATCCTTGTACTAAACAATAAGATTAATGTATGAAGGAGAACATAAAGATAGCATATCCTAACAATGATTTTGATGCTATGATATCTTACTGTATACATTCAAAATACTTGCATTTACTTCTCTGATCATTTCTTATAATGATAAGAATAATATTCCCTATACCTTTTCATTATACAAAACTTGTATAAAACTTTGTATGTTTTGAATAACATTAAAAATTGCACGTTGTCATCTTTTCTATTTCAATTTAGTTTTTCAGATTTCGTAGACATTTTTTTTCAATAATACAATCATGCAATTGTGTATTCAAATATTTGATAATAATAATATAATTACTCAAATCAAAATAAGATTAATTAGACAGAGCCATTAACAAAAAAACGAAAAAAAAAACAACACTTTTTGCATATTTTTCTTCAAGATGTCAACAAAACCACACTACTTTTAAAATTTTGATGTTTAAAGAACTCTTTGGTATAATAGAAATTAATATATTGTTTAAAACCTAACTAGATATTTAAAATGATGGATGTAATTAGAAAAGAAGTTCACATCATAAAAATGAGAATAAAACTAAATAACAAGACCAATTTGTCTTTGACTACGGTCAATCTTAGTTGAATGAATATACATCGTATTCATAAATAATGAAGTTTCACTTTCAAATGCTTAGGGACAACAGTAAACATTATTTTAAAATGACGATTCTAATACCATTTGATAGGAAAATTATTTGCCAATACTGTATAATTTGTTAATTTGATTTACAATAAAAAATGAATTTAACATGATTTTTTATAAAATATGTATACCTCGTAATTTAACATATCTCAACCAAAAGAGAACCCGACGTTCAACATGATAGGGACACCAGTAAATATCAAGATAAAGTGGATTTTATTACACCATTTCAAAGCTAAAAAATTGGTGAGATCTCTATGATTTATTAATTTTATATGAGATTTATAAATAAGACATAGTATTCATTTATTTAGCTAGTGGTCATAATTCCCCATAGACAATAACGTTAAAAAAATTTCAATGATTACGGTTCTCTGTGTGGTAGCTGATAAAGCCATCCAGCTGAGCTGTCCGCAATTCTTGTGTATGTTTGACCAAATAAAAGTTAAAAGATGACAAATTGGACAACCGCAATTGTTAAATCGCTTTGACGTCCGAAAAAAAGATAATAATCAACACAATCATGCATTGTAACTTTAAAGCCAGTTAAATCCTTTTTTTGCTGAAAGAACGTGCGATATCATAAAAATTGATTATCAAAACATAACAAAAACACAAGTAAAGAATGTTTAAGTATAAATAAAAACACAAATGTTATTCCTGATTAGTTTTTCGAATTATTTTATTTAGGCGTTGAGACCCTTTGGTGACCCCACAGTTTAAATGTCTATAATAAATACGTCGTTAATAGTTGGCGTTACAGACGAACGTTCACCTAATCTGACCCAGTCAATGGGATATTTTAGCGCGCCAATCAATGGTTTCGTCTACACTGTTATGCACATGATTCTAATAGCTTTACGATCACTGTATATTCCAACACCAGCTTCGGTAATAAGAACTAGAAACAGCCAGTTTAAAATTCCTGCCATACCACTAGTACTGCAGAATCAACATTCATTAATTTTCCCTAGAACAATTGCCATCTGGAGATCCTGGCAAAATCAATTGTGCTCGCACCATCATTGGAGGCCTTCAAATCCCTCTAGGAGCACCAACATCAATAGTGAGGCGAAAGATACCAACTAACTTTTGTACAGTATATGTTATGTTTTAATCACTGGAGCAACCTTTTTATTGGATTGTTTGCAAACATCATACTATTCACATGCATCCTCGTTTGTAGATTTGATTCATTTTTGGTGTTTTAACGCCACTTTTAAGCACCGCATTTGGGCTATTTCATGGCGGCCAGTTTTTATTGGTGGAGGAAGCCGGAGTGCCCGGAGAAAACCACCGACCTTCGATAGGAAAACTGATAATCCTAGTCAATTAAGATTGGAGTCGAGTGCTCGTTAGTAGATGTCCAGTATAGATTTTGATAAGTAATTAAGTTGAAATTGAAGAAGATACCTTGGGGCAGTCAAAAACCATAACTTGATGAAAAACTGACAAGAAGGAAAAGCAACAAGCAACATAAACTCCATCGTAAATTGGGTAAAATGCATAAAATACCACATATATCCCCTTTAAACATATCATATAAGTTATTTCATGTTTAAAATGAAACCATTATATATTGAGATTTATAAATCATATCTAATTTGAGAGAAAACATTCAATATATCAAACTTGTTTCAAATTGGGTAAAAAGTCCAAAAGACACCTAATTATTATGAATTTTGAGAAGAAAAATTCCACATAAAAAACTCCTATACAAATTAAACTACTATGGATTCAAAATAAAATAATCTTTTCCTAGGGGTGGAAAATCCTTAGTTTTTTGAAAAGTTTTAAGTTTTGTTAACTGTTAATTTATAAATATGACCATATCATAATATGTCATTTCAACAAAGAAGTGTAAAATATACTAATACCAATCTACCCAAGATCTCGTCATAACCATCCTGGCATGAACAGACATCTACTAAGCTTTTAAAGACTCTTACAAATATTCATTTTCCCGAATATTCGCAAACAGTGGAACTTATTACTGGCAAATGCTGTACTCTCACTTACAATCAATATATTCAGAGAACAGTGACACCTACTGTCCTCAACAAATCCAGCATTAAATCTAGTAGTATATAGTTTAGGCACCAACCATTCATCGTTTTTATTTTATTACCAGTAATAAAAATAACTTTGTAAATAATTTGATTCTTTATTTCTTCGGATATCAATTTGTTTAAGAATCTAGAAAGTGAACAAATATATTGTTCTTATCAAAAATGAGTAAAAAAAAATAAAAACAAGATTGATTTAAAAAAGAATGTTATTGAAAAAAAAATTGATTTATGATTATAACTGACAAAAAATGTTTTTCCCCAGGAAAAAAAATCCAGCTTCCAATAAGAGATGAATAGTCAGTGCCTTGAGCCATAATGATTATAAAAATGAGAAAATGTGGTATGATTGCCAATGCAACAACTCTGCACAAGAGACCAAAGGAAACAGAAATTAACAACTATAGGTCACTGTATGGCCTTCAACAATGAGTAAAACCCATACCGCATAGTCAGCTATAAAAGGCCCCGAAATGACAAATGTAAAACAATTCAAACAGGAAAACTAATGGCCTGATTTATGTACAAAATAATGAACGAAAAACAAATATGATATACAGCAACAAACAACAAGCACTGAATTACAGGCTCCTGGCTAAAATGTATATGTGAATTTGTTTATAGAATTCAAAGGTTTCTGTGAAATGAAAATAAACATAAACCATTACCATTCAAGCATAAAGTCCAGGTAATGCTTACCCAAATTTTGAAGAACAGTATTATGCTATATACAAAGAAAGGATGGATGGATGGCTTGATTGATATTTAATTCCAGTGGCAAATATTACATGAACATCTGGATGACAACATGCTGTTTAGGACTTAACCTACACAATGAGTTGGATTTATATGGTTTAATATATGCCTAAGCCACATGCATATAATTATGCACAATCAGGCTAGGCTTACAAAAAACTTATGGTAAGCGATATCAGATGTAAATTTTATTATCATATTGAAAATATTATCACAATAATATTATTCAGCACTTACAAACTTTTCTATAGCTTCAGAATATTTTTTATTACTGTTCAAATAAAGCCTCAAAATCATATCAAAATAAATTTATAATGCCTATTTATGATTGTTCATCCCATATTCTTTCTGTTCCCCCATCCTCTCCTATGATCTACAAAAATATAAAAAAGGAATAGATTAAAGCAGATGTTTTTGATTTTATCTAATTTAATAGAAAGGGATTACCCCTGTAAACCTATACATGCTACTTCTATTTAAGTTTCCTTTAATTTATTCAATTTTATAACTTGTTTTCTTCCAACTCATAAGTTACTTTTGAGTAGTGATTTGTGCCTTCATATGTGTTAGTAGGAATTAGTTTAAGATATTTGAGATGTTCTGCACTCTTTATGTCAAATTACATGTAATAAATTATAAGTTAAGTTATAAATAAAGGGAGATGTGGGTTATATGCCAAAAGAAAAGCCACCAAACCACACAAAATACTGAAAGACAAGGTCAACAATACAATCTTCAACAAAACACTAATGTATGTATTTATAAAAAGATCAGCCAAAGTCCAGAAAAGTTAAAAAAAATCTGACAGAGACATTCAAAGATATTCTATTAATACCAATTACATGAAGAACGCAAATCATTCAGATATAACATTATAACTAAAGACAATCACTGACTTGGGACAGGCACATAGTCATAAACATATATGCATGTGGCAGTGATAAAGTTGTTTTTTGAGGCTACAACCCACCCTTTCTTAATCCCAAGCAGTGGAATTGCTTACAGTTCATAGATGTTAATCTTAAGCATGTTAATAATCATTTATAATGTTAAGACGGCAGAGTAGCAAATGGAAAGGCAACAGAGGGTTGATGATTAAGTACAAATTACAGTTGACCTGGTTAGTCTATTATCTTTATGACAATTAAAACAATACAGATTTCCCATGTTTAATAAAGAACTAATTTGGTTTACTGTTGTAATGAGTCAGAGCTTGATAAATTCATATTTGTCAGATATTTTTTAGCCATTTTTCATCAAATGTTAATTAAAATTTCTAAAGTTAAATTTATTTGCATTTTAGGCCAATATTAACCCTTCTCAAACCTATTCCTTTACTTTGACAACATGGCAGAACTGTCAGTCTTTTCAAATCTTCCAGAAGAATTTCAACATGAAACCTGAATGTAAAGCTTTGAAAAAGTACAAAAGTTGTGTGAAAAATTCTACATCCTTGCAACAAACAACTAAAAATGACATCAAGGACAGTGGATTTTGCTAGACAAAACCTTTCATAACATCAGGGACAATGAACATTGTTAGACAACACCTTTCAGACCATCAGGAACAATGGACATTGCTAGACAATACCTTTTATAACATCAGGGACAGTGGACATTGCTAGACAAAACCTTTCAGACCATCAAGAACAATGGACATTGCTAGACAAAACCTTTCATACCATCAGGGACAATGGACATTGCTAGACAAAACCTTTCAGACCATCAGGAACAATGGACATTGCTAGACAAAACCGTTCAGAACATCAGGAACAATGGACATTGCTAGGCAAAACCTTTCAGACCATCAGGGACAATGGACTTGCTAAACAAAACCTTTCAGACCATCAGGAACAATGGACATTGCTAGACAAAACCTTTCATAACAACAGGGACAGTGCACATTGCTAGACAAAACCTTTCAGACCATTAGGAACAATGAACATTGCTAGACAAAACCTTTCATAACATCAGGGACAATGGACTTGCTAAACAAAACCTTACAGACCATCAGGAACAATGGACATTGCTAGACAAAACCTTTCATAACAACAGGGACAGTGCACATTGCTAGACAAAACCTTTCAGACCATGAGGAACAATGGACATTGCTCGACAAAATCTTTCAGATCATCAGGGACAATGGACATTGCTAGACAAAACCGTTCAGACCATCAGGAACAATGGACATTGCTAGACAAAACCGTTCAGACCATCAGGAACAATGGACATTGCTAGACAAAACCGTTCAGACCATTAGGGACAATGGACATTGCTAGACAAAACCTTACATAACATCAGGGACAATGGACATAGCTAGAGAAAACCTTTCCTAACATGAAGAACAATGGACATTGCTAGACAAAATCTGTTCAGAACATCAGGGACAATGGACATTGCTAGACAAATCCGTTCAGAACATCAGGGACAATGGACATTGCTAGACAAAACCTTCCAGAACATCAGGGACAATGGACAGTGCTAGACATGGTCTTTCAGACCATTCGGGACAATGCTAGACAAAACCTTTCAGACCATCAGGCAAGTACTACTCACCATCTTTCCATTCATCCCAATCTCTAGCTTTTTGTAAAGTTTCCTCATCATCTTCTTCTATTTTCTTCTCTTTTTCTGAGTCCTCCTGTTCTTTAGCCTGAGCATCTCTTTCAGGGTCATTTGCCCAATCCTGCATACTGTGACTAAAACATATAATTGTGTACTGTAAATTCAGAAATTATTGCGAGTTTTTTATTAATGCGAATAATGCGACTGGGTGAGTATCGCAAAAATAAGAACTCGCATTTTGATATCTGATACATATATCTGTATGCAGATTTTCCTTAAATCGCAATAATTAATCTCGCATTTTTCTCCATTTTTTAAAAATCGCAATAATAAATGCACGCAATAATTTCTGAATTTACAGTATGTGTAGATAGGGTTTTTTTATTTCAAAATATGAGTTTGGTGTCAGTAACTGTAAATCAAAAAATATCTCACAAATAAGAAATGTAATGTAACCATATAGTTTGTGGTGTTACAGCTTACAAAGTCTACCTCAATTATTTGCCTTATACAGAAGTTTTTTTTTCCTGCCAATTTATCCAACATGTAGTGGGTTCAATTCTTTGCCAGATTGATTTTATTGTTCTTCAATTTACAGTTGTAGCGTGATCGTCAGTTTGCAAAGAATTCCCCTCGAACCAATGATAGGGGCCGTCTTACACTTGCAGTGAGGTGAGAGTTGCTCTGTATTGAAGACCTCACTGTCACTTTGAGATGAAGAACAGTGATAAATGCACTGTTCCTTTGCTTTTCATGTGTTTTGCTGTGCATGTACTGATTTTGTATCACGGATGGTTACCCCATATCCTTTCTTTTTTATTATATACTCAGTTCCATTTATCATATTACAAGCTACTGTTAACCCTTTCTGATACCAACTCTGGGTTGCGATTTAATATATATCAAAAAGCACTTTCATGGTGAGTTAATGATACGAGATACATGGTCACTATTGTCATTGTTATATCTTTGAATTATTAACATAATTATCATATTTGTTCACCTATTTAGCCATTTTCCAAACTTTGATAGTTTCACACTTACCTATTTCCAGGTGCTTGGAATGTTCCATCTCTTACTCTTTCTTCATAAAATTCATCCACAGTCATAACAGGTCTACTTGGATAGCCTGCTCCATAAACTTTCTTTTGTATCATGTCCTTTGTTATGATAAATGGTCTAAATGCCTAAAAAGAAAGTAAAAATGTTTTTAAAAAAAGTCCTTATTTAGGTATAGATCGTTGGACTCATTATAATTCCTTAGAAAACTCTTAAAAGCTGACCAATACTCACCTGCTTTACTGATCATGATTTGAGTTTATGTTGCAAGTCTTTTAGATAAAGGTTTTACTACAAATATCACATACTTTTATTAACATTATCAATGATCCATGTCAATAAGGTCAAGGTTAAATGAACACTACCAGACTAACATGTTCACCATACAATCATTCCAAAACAAATAAAATGCTCCGCTGGGGCGCAGCTTGATACGACCGCAGAGGTCGAACCCTGAACAGTTGGGGCAAGTATGGACACAACATTCAAGCTTGATACAGCACTGAATTTGGATTGTAATTAAATATTTGACACAGCATAGGTTTCTGACACAGAATGAAAGTGGTCTAAGAACTTAAAAATTTTCAATTTACCTATTCATACATGTGATGGACTGTGAAACTCAGATCAGGAGATTGGGAAATTTTGGTCAGGAGATTAGGACTCAGATCAGGAGGTTTTTAATCGACATTAATTTTGTTGTAAATGTAACCCTGTGCTGTAAAAATGGTCTTTTAAAGTGTGTTTTCTTCAACTTTCCATCCAATTTATTATGTTTATAGTACCCTTGTACTTATAAAGTTTCTCCATCTTTATATTCTACATGTTCAATCTAACATTGTTTTTTTCCAGTATGTTCTTTAATTTTTTTACTTCATATTCTATAAAACAATCATTGCAACCAGAACATTTGTTAAGCTATCTGCAAATAGTTTTTATTTTTTTTTTTTTTTCTCTTGTAAATAGTTTTTATTTGCAAACTCAGAAAATCATTCTATCTGTAAAATTAGGGTCATAGTTATTATATAAATTTCAATTTAAGCCTTGAAAGGAAGTATAGAATCCTCAAATAATTTTCAAATTATTATTTTTTTATTTGTCCTAAGACATTTAAAATCATTTAATAACCATCCTTTTATGATTATTTGTTCAATTTATATTTTATTCATATTCTTTTAAAAATTTTCATTATTAAAAGGAAAGTAACTTAAAACAGGATAAATCAAGGGAAGTAACCCAATAAATACACAGTTTTTGTTACACAACGGCAGTTAGCCTGAGGTAAAAATCGTTGATTACCAGTATGTTTGACACCCAAGCTGACAAGTGAAGCCATATAATTATGCATGTTAATTGATTTACAGGTAAAATATAACTTCAGGTAATGTCAGTTACACCAGATGCCTGAGATGATATGTTGGGCACATACACGGGATTTTTTCCTCTTCAACGGGAGGTCGGGAGGAGACCCCTGAAAACGGGATTATTGTACTCCCGTCGGGAGGTTCACATGTATGCCTATTCAAACCATATCATTATTATTTGCTTTTATATATAAATCAGAAATAACCAATTTAAAATGGAAAATGTTAAAGAAAAAAAAGGAAAAAAAAAATCCCCCCCCCCCCAATTTTTTGAACCCCCTTATGATTCATCACCCCCAAACTCAATCCCAGCTTTCCCTTTGTGGTATGGTACCTTGCAGTACAATTTCAGAGAGATTCATACACTTGAACACAAGTTATTGTCTGGAAACTAGAAAAATGCTTGTTTTTTGGCCCCAAATTCCTAAACGTTTAGGGCAATTACCCCCAAACTCAATTCCAGCTTTCCCTTTGTGATATGGAACCTTGCAGTACAATTTCATAAAGATCCATACACTTACACACAAGTTATTGTCCTGAAACTAGAAAAATGCATGTTTTTTTTGCTCTTTTATGGCCCCTAATTACTAAAATTTTGAGGGAAAACCCCCAAAATCAATCCCAGCCTTCCCTTTGTGATATGGAACCTTGTAGTACAATTTCATAAAGATCCATACACTTACAAACAAGTTATTGTCATGAAACTAGAAAAATGCTTGTTTTTTGCCCCTTTTTGGCCCCTAATTCCTAAAATTTGGAGGAAATTACCCCAAAAATCAATCCCAGTATTCCCTTTGTGATATGGAACCTTGTAGTACAATTTCCTAAAGATCCAAACACTTACAAACAAGTTATTGTCATGAAACTAGAAAAATGCTTGTTTTTTGCCCCTTTTTGGCCCCTAATTCCTAAAATTTTGAGGCAATTACCCCCAAAATCAATCCCAGCATTCCCTTTGTGATATGGAACCTTGTGGTACAATGTCAGAGAGATCCATACACTAACACACAAGTTATGTCTGGAAGTTACAAAAATGCTTATTTTTGGCCCCTAATTCCTTAACTGATAGTACCATAACCCCCAAAATCAATCCCCACCTTCCTTTTGTGGTATTGAACCTTATGGTAAAATTTCATTGAGATCCATTCACTTAAACTAAAGTTAGAGTGCGAAAACTAATGTGTCTTCGGACGACGACGACGCCAACGTCATACCAATATACGACCACAAAAATTTTTTTGCGGTCGTATAAAAATAGTAAAAGTATTGCTTATAGAAACAGACTTAACCATGAAAGGTTGACATTGACCAATGAATCATGAAAATGATCTCAAGTTTAAATGAAACATGCCAGACAGACATTGTGCACCTTACAGTTAATCTATACACCAAATATAGTTGACCTATTGCTTAGAAATCTGACCATGAAGAAACAGCAAACATCTATCATGCTATAAAATTTATTTGCAGGTACTAAATGAAATATGTATAAATGAAGTAATTCTGATGTTTTCTTCCATTCCAAAATATGTGCCAGTTGTAAGAGATTTGCATTGAGAAACTCCCCAATATCTAGAAATGGCATGTCCCTATTGTTGGAAACCTTCAGGCCAATCAAAAGTCACCAAAAATATGCACAACTACACACAGTGTGAAATCAGTCTGTCCAGTAATTCCTGTATGTAGAGAATTTTGTGTTTACAAATTTTTGTTATGAATAAACTGACAAATAAAAGAACAGAGTTCCAATGTCCCCCGCATTGCACATATTTTATCTATCTAAGGGCAATAACTAAAAAAAAAAAAATTTTTTGTTTAAATTTTTTTTTATCTAATATCTAAGAGAGCAAATTGCAATTTCCAATATAAGTAGTATTTCCAAGGGGCATAACTCTTTTAAAAATATTTGATAAGCACTAATTTTTTTAAATTGTCCAAGACATTGCTTATATTATAATAAAATGCTCCGCTGGGGCGCAGCTTGATACGACCGCAGAGGTCGAACCCTGAACAGTTGGGGCAAGTATGGACACAACATTCAAGCTTGATACAGCACTGAATTTGGATTGTAATTAAATATTTGACACAGCATAGGTTTCTGACACAGAATGAAAGTGGTCTAAGAACTTAAAAATTTTCAATTTACCTATTCATACATGTGATGGACTGTGAAACTCAGATCAGGAGATTGGGAAATTTTGGTCAGGAGATTAGGACTCAGATCAGGAGGTTTTTAATCGACAATAATTTTGTTGTAAATGTAACCGTGTGCTGTAAAAATGGTCTTTTAAAGTGTGTTTTCTTCAACTTTCCATCCAATTTATTATGTTTATAGTACCCTTGTACTTATAAAGTTTCTCCATCTTTATATTCTACATGTTCAATCTAACATTGTTTTTTTCCAGTATGTTCTTTAAATTTTTTACTTCATATTCTATAAAACAATCATTGCAACCAGAACATTTGTTTAGCTATCTGCAAATATGTTTTTTTTTTTTTTTTTTTCTCTTGCAAATAGTTTTTATTTGCAAACTCAGAAAATCATTCTATCTGTAAAATTTGGGTCATAGTTATTATATAAATTTCAATTTAAGCCTTGAAAGGAAGTATAGAATCCTCAAATAATTTTCAAATTATTATTTTTTTATTTGTCCTAAGACATTTAAAATCATTTAATAACCATCCTTTTATGATTATTTGTTCAATTTATATTTTATTTATATTCTTTTAAAAATTTTCATTATTAATAGGAAAGTAACTTAAAACAGGATAAATCAAGGGAAGTAACCCAATAAATACACAGTTTTTGTTACACAACGGCAGTTAGCCTGAGGTCAAAATCGTTGATTACCAGTATGTTTGACACTCAAGCTGACAAGTGAAGCCATATAATTATGCATGTTAATTGATTTACAGGTAAAATATAACTTCAGGTAATGTCAGTTACACCAGATGCCTGAGATGATATGTTGGGCAGAAATTTTTCATTCATGAAAAATTTCATACACGGGATTTTTTCCTCTTCAACGGGAGGTCGGGAGGAGACCCCTGAAAACGGGATTATTGTACTCCCGTCGGGAGGTTCACATGTATGCCTATTCAAACCATATCATTATTATTTGCTTTTATATATAAATCAGAAGTAACCAATTTAAAATGGAAAATGTTAAAGAAAAAAAATGAAAAAAAAAATCCCCCCCAATTTTTTGAACCCCCTTATGATTCATCACCCCCAAACTCAATCCCAGCTTTCCCTTTGTGGTATGGTACCTTGCAGTACAATTTCAGAGAGATTCAAACACTTGAACACAAGTTATTGTCTGGAAACTAGAAAAATGCTTGTTTTTTGGCCCCTTTTTGGCCCCAAATTCCTAAACGTTTAGGGCAATTACCCCCAAACTCAATTCCAGCTTTCCCTTTGTGATATGGAACCTTGCAGTACAATTTCATAAAGATCCATACACTTACACACAAGTTATTGTCCTGAAACTAGAAAAATGCATGTTTTTTTTGCCCTTTTATGGCCCCTAATTACTAAAATTTTGAGGGAAAACCCCCAAAATCAATCCCAGCCTTCCCTTTGTGATATGGAACCTTGTAGTACAATTTCATAAAGATCCATACACTTACAAACAAGTTATTGTCATGAAACTAGAAAAATGCTTGTTTTTTGCCCCATTTTGGCCCCTAATTCCTAAAATTTGGAGGAAATTACCCCAAAAATCAATCCCAGTATTCCCTTTGTGATATGGAACCTTGTAGTACAATTTCATAAAGATCCATACAATTACAAACAAGTTATTGTCATGAAACTAGAAAAATGCTTGTTTTTTGCCCCTTTTTGGCCCCTAATTCCTAAAATTTGGAGGCAATCACCCCCAAAATCAATCCCAGCATTCCCTTTGTGATATGGAACCTTGTGGTACAATGTCAGAGAGATCCATACACTTACACACAAGTTATGTCTGGAAGTTACAAAAATGCTTATTTTTGGCCCCTTTTGGCCCCTAATTCCTTAACTGTTAGTACCATAACCCCCAAAATCAATCCCCACCTTCCTTTTGTGGTATTGAACCTTATGGTAAAATTTCATTGAGATCCATTCACTTAAACTAAAGTTAGAGTGCGAAAACTATTGTGTATTCGGACGACGACGCCGGACGACGACGCCAACGTCATACCAATATACGACCACAAAAATTTTTTTGCGGTCGTATAAAAACCTTTGATGGAAATTTGATAAAAATCTGGCAAAAATTGTACACGAGAGCGCTTACAATGCAATTTTCCATATAATTAAAATTTCAAAGAGGCATAACTCTTTCTAAAATAATTGATCAACACTGATTTCCAAACTTGTCCAAGAGATTGCTAATATAAACCTATGATATAAATTTCATAAAAATCTGGCAAGAATTGTACACATGAGAGCTCTAACAATGAAATCTTCCTATATAATTAATATTTCCAAGGGGCATAACTCTTTTAAAAATAGTTGATTAGCACTGATTTTTTAGCTTGTCCCAAACATTGCTGATATGAACACATGGTATAAGTTTTATAAAAATCTGGCAGGAATTGTACACTTGAGAGCGCTAACAAGACTGGACGGATGGATGCCCTGTATTTATATGTCCCGTGCAATGCGTCGTGCAGGGGACAATAAACTGATGACAGAACAATTCACTACGTCTCCTCAATACCATAACATTTCTCACATCTACAGATTTAAATGATGAATCTATTTCTTACAATAAAACAAACCTACTTTAGCCTGAAAAATTCTTTTTACAGGTAATAAAATTTTGAAGTTGCAGAAAATTGAGTAAAATGGAAAAAAAACAACATTTGTCACTGAAATTGTTTCTATTTTATCCCTCTCCCACAATATTGTTTGTTAACTAAGACACTGTTGTGATAAAAGTTCTTATATAAGATTATACCTGTTTCTTTTGTGGATCTTTTTTGTGTTTTGGAGGTTCTTCATGTCCATTCTGTATACTTTGCTCTCTAAATTTTAACATTGTTACTTCACCTTTTCACAAAAATATAGTAAAATAAATTATCTTCTTTTAAGCAGAACAATATGTCAAATATATAATTAATTCAGAAAAATAGGTATATGATTACGAAGTTTAACTGATAGATAATGCTTAAATAAAATGTGTAATAATTAAAACAATGAAGGAAATAAAATTTAACCTCAGTTTGAAAAGGAACAAAATGTACAGTAAAACCTTCTATAAAGGTCACCTCTATTAAGAGAAAACTTGTCTTGTCACAATGACATCGTTGATATTTTTAGAAATGACCCTATATTCATATACCATGCACAATTTATGTAATTTTCTTGACAAGTATGGTTAAACAAATACACATCATTTTGTAACTTGAGTATTTGAGAAAAATTTCATCGATAAATTTCTAGAAATTTTCATATGAAGGATGTATTTCTAGAATGTTGTGCTCAATGCGCTATGTTTTGTGTATATCAAAAGTAGTGATAAAATCTGGAATATTAATAACTATTAAGCCAGCCACATAAGGGTTTAGATTGCATGAATGCAATTTTAACCCCCAAAACATCCATTTTGAACCTCAATGCAAAGGTCATCATTCTTGAAAGGTCAGTTTTATATGGTCCAGATGGTAACCTTTTTATACAGGTTTGACTGTTTTCTACTTAGTATTTGATAAAAGAACTTGAATATTTAACTCAATATAAATCAATAGAGTCTTATTCTAAGTTCAGAGTGATATTTAATATTAGTTCCTTTTAAATGTTTTGACTGAGTTCTGTTCACCAGCTAATTGGTTTATGTCTTTGGTTGTATTGTTTTGTTTGATTATGCTTCCTTTGATATGTATCATATATCTCCTCTGTTTCTTAAATATAAAAATAAATACACAAAAATTGTTGTAAAAGTTTAATCTGAAATACTTACAATTCAAGCTGTCTAATTCCTCTAAAGACTTCTCCACCCAATGTTGACATAAGGTCAAATAATAATCTCTCTGTAAAATCAAGAGAAAGGGAATGAATGTATGTATAGCTGCAGTTAGATATATTCAAATCTTAAATTGAAACAAATGGGAAATGTGTCCATGGGACACAGATGATGCCCCCGCTTGCATATCATATACAGTTATAAAGGCACATAACTGAAGAACAGTAAAAGTGACGCTACCCAAATTTGTACTTGATCTGAGTTTTGTGGTAATAAGTATTGTGTATAAGTCTCATAACATTTGCTTTGAGGCTAAATTAAGTTAGAGAACGGAAACGAAAAATTCAGCAATTTTTATGTTTATAAAGGGGCATAACACAAGAACGGTAAAAGTGACGCCACCCAATTTCGAACTTGATCTGTATTATGTGGTAATAAGAATTGTGTATAAGTTTCATAACATTTAGTTGAGGCAAACTAAAGATAGAGAACAGAAATGAAAAATTCAGCAATTTTTATGTTTATAAAGGGGCATAACTCAAGAACAGTAAAAGAGATGCCACCAAATTTCGAACTTGATCTGTATTATGTGATAATAAGCATTGTGTATAAGTTTCATAACATTTGGTTGAGGCAAACTAAAGTTAAAGAACGGAAACAAAAAAACAAACGCAATTTTTCCAAATGTAAAGTGGCATAGCTCTAGAACGATTATAGTGACGCCACAAAATTTCAAACTTGATCTGTGTTTTGTGGTAATAAGCATTGTGTATAAGTTTCATAACATTTGGTTGAGGCAAACTAAAGTTAGAGAACAGAAACCAACTTTGGGACGTACGGACGGAAGGACGTACGTACAGACGGACAAGGGTAAAACTTAATGCTCCCTCCGCTACGGCCTGGGCATAAAAATAAATGAATTGACATATTCAGGGAAGGTGACAAGGTTTGATCAAAATGTAATATCTTCAATTTGTCAAATAGTTTGACTTTGTAATTTCAGAAAACTGACCAATCTGAATAAAAATTGCTTCTGGTGGACAAATATTTCACCCAGGAAATCAGGAAAATTTAGAAATGACGTTCAAAATATTATTCCTGCAAATTTGGGACTATTCTGGGAAAAAATCAATCAGAGTCATCATATGCCATCATCAATAAGCTATGAACAAGCAAGTTTCAGAATAACAGAGGCTGCACCTATTTACCCTTATTTACCAATCAAAGCAGGGTTTGACACCACATGATATTTTTTTCTGTGGGTAATATGGGTGGAAGCAAATACAATTCTGTTAAAAATGAAAATAAAGATTATGGTGGTGGGGTATAAAAAAGTGTTGTCTAACCCCTGTAATAGTCCTTAGAAAAATTTGGTCCAGTAGTTTCTGAGAAGATGAAAACAGAGTTCATATATTTGAACTGTGCAATGAAGGTGATACAAAAATTATATTGATGTATGTAATTATGGATAAAATATACAGGTACATGTATATAGCAATTCTTATAGTATTATCTTCTGCTGCAGTTAATGCCACAAAAGATATTCTGTAGTTTATTCTTGCCTATCATGCCATTTGTCCCATTTGTCCCAATGTCACAGATGCATATAAGGACTCAACATTTTTGTTAAAAGTTTTTAAAGTAATGAAAAGGAAGCTTAAAAAATCACCAAAAACTACTTCAAAACATTTATCTTAATTAACAAGTAATTCAGAACATATATCCAGAGGGCACCATGCACTGCTCACCTATCACCTTTCTATGTTTAGTAGACAACAAAATCTGGGTTCAAACCCTAATTTGGTATATATTTATTTAAAATCACATGATAATGAACATGTGTACTAAGTTTAAAGTTAATGTGACAACAACTTCATGGTGAACTACCTTAAACCAAACTTTAGCCTGATAAGTGACCTGTGAAATTTGGGTGGAAACCCTAACTTGGCATATATTCTCAAAAGTTCACTTCATAATGATCATGTGTAAAAAGTTTCAAGATGTTATGACCACAACTTCATGGTAAACTACCATTAACCAATCTAAAATCAGAAATGAGACAGATTACAGCCAAACAACAGAGTGGAAAACATTTTGCCCCCTTACAATATAATTGGGGCATAAGTAACAAAAGAAAAGAAAGCTTTTACCTTAACCTCATCGTCCACATGTTCTTTCTCTACTTCTACAGATAAATCCTTTAGTTTTTTGGCTCGTTCTTTTTGTTCCTGGAATTTTTTAATCTTATCCCCTCTTTGTCTAGACATTGCAATCAGATCTGGAGGACTGAATATTGAAAAATAAATTCAAACATCTGTATGCAATTGTATTTTATCAAGATTTTTCTAAGTTTTTATTTTTATAAATGACGAAAACCAATTGATTTGATTTATGAAACAAAGTTCTAGTCAGATCATTTTATATATAGTTTTCATAAAAAAAGAGTTAGACCATGATATTAAAATGTAACACAACCAAAGCAAAAACCTCAGTAAAAAACAAGTTATTAAAGACAGAGATCATCACTAACTTCAGTAAGGTTGGATTATATTTTATTCCCTGTTTACATAATATCCCTTGACATCTAAGGTAAATATAGTTGAGCATTATTGCTTTCAAATTTTTATCTTTGTGGGATATATAATTTTGTTACAGCATTAGTTTTGAAATTTACAACAAAATATTTTATCTTACACCATATAATGAGAAATTGCTCCTGCTTAATATCATCTTTAATACTGGTGGTGTTTCCTCCTAATTCCCGTTCACCTTTGTTTAAAAAAAGGTGGTATTTACATAATCTGTATAACATATATGAGTACTTCTATTTTTGGGTTAAAATTTTCATGCAGGTATTGATTAATCAGAACCATTAACTTTTAAAATGTGCAACAAATACGTGGGTACAATGGTTCATTGATATGTTGTTTCTAAAGTCTGAAATAACATTTTTAAATACCAAATAACCAATGATATTTTCACAACCTTAAAAAAAATGTTAAATAACCTACCCTTTTCCTGTAGGCCCTGTCTCTGTTGAGTCTGGTGGGAGGTTAACATCAGTTACTTCGTATGATTTACAAAGCCTTAGGAAGTCTGTAAAATAATCCTGTAATTACAAATTTTATGTAAATTCACATACCATGTGAGTTATTGCCAACACTTATTGTAATGACAAATATTATGTAAATTCACATTCCATGGGTGTTATTTGTTTTAGACATACAGAGTCACAGACAGATGGATTAAGAAAGTAATAAATATATACATGTTACTGAAATATTTTTAGGGGAGCATAATAAATGAATGCTGGAAATATCTACAGTAAGTACTCACTCTAAGTTGTTACTATGGTCCTGATGAAAATTTAAATGTGTTCCCATGAGGCAAAATGGGACAAGATTGGTCCAAATTTCAAAGATCATCTTTTTAAGAACCACTAACCAAACTTGTGGATATGTTGAATGTTCCCTCCAGTCCTTAACAAATGGATACAGGTAGGTGTTACTGTTTCAAGTAACAAAACAAAATTGGTTTCAATTCAAATTCAACAAAGGAAATACTCTTAATAAATATCTGCATGAAGGGTACCATTTCCAGTCTGACATTTTGAGTTGCAGGTTATAAAACTTTTACCTTTTGATATGCTGTACAATGGCAATTTTACAGAGATATCATGGTGTTTTACTGCTTTGGTTTAAATGCATATTAATCAGAAATATTTTAATCCATAATATATTTTATCAGCCATACAATTATTCCTTAGTTCACAAATATTTTACATGCATTATATGCATAATGTTTGAAGAATGTAAAATATACTGATACCTTTCCTTTCTTTACAACTTCAATTCTTTCCTTCACATTTAAAAGTGTTGATAAATATCCCAAAATAGCTGGTAAAAGGAGGTATCTATAAAATATATGGTAAATCTATTAGTAATTAATAATTCAGAATATTTCACAATTTCAATTTTTATAATCACATTCCTGTTCTATCAAACATTTGTTAGATACATGTATCTTAGTGTTAAAGTTATTGTACATTGTTGTATATCAGCATTACTATGATTACAAAATAATGTAAATAAACAGTAATTATCAATGGAGAATTTGACTGCTTAAGATCATTGGGAAAGATGATGAATATCTCATATCATCTCACAGCCTTACACAGTGTTTATTGATTTATACAGTTTGACATCTTCCTGGCAAACCCTAAAAGGCACTAAAAAATAAAGATCATTAGGAAAGAAGATGAAAATCTACAAATCATCTCAAAGCCTTACACTATGTACACGGTCATGATTGTGTTTGATGAGTTATAAATTATGACATCTTTCTGGCAAACCCTAAAAGGCACTCAAAATTGAAGATCATGTCTGAAAGGATTCAACACTAGAAAATAACATATAAAAATCATGTACATGTACATGTAATATACTACATGTATTAATACATTCTGTATTATCATACTTAAAGGTACATGTATAACAATGATAATTATTAATCAAATTAGGATTTACTTCATGTATAAAATCATTTCCTAAAAAAAAAAGATATTTATACTATCATGAATATAATTACCAGTATATTAACTGAAATGGCAAAGAGACTTTCAACATAGGTCATTTTCTTTCTGCTTTTAAGTTGTACTAATGCTAACAGTATTTACCTTACTTCATTTGTGGCAACTTCATCTATATTCTCATTATCACTATATAAATGTAGTTGGTTCACCATGTGTATAGCTTTCTCTCCACTCTGTATCCCATGCCTGAGTTTTACCTAAATGTAAATAATGTTTCTAATAATAAAATCCATGATCAATAAGTACAATGGTAACGTTATAATGACTGTAGTATGTGAGCCTAAACATTGTTTCTTATATATATATGTAGGACTCTGAGGTGCGATGGGGACACTGAATTGCGATTGTCAAGCTTAAGTGCGATGGTCACGCTGAAGTGGGATGGTCTATATTGCACATGATGGTTAGTTTAAAATCTATAGATGTTCAATTATTATGAGAAGAAGATTTGTTGAATGGTTAAAATATTAATTTGCCTTTGCTATATGTTTGTCCTTAGCTACAGTTACATACTAAATGAGAGATTATCCTCTTCGATTTTCTGCATGTGAACATAATTCTGCGTTAACATTTTATCTTTACTTGATTTCTTGCATGAGTTCCTCTTTTACCGTAATATTATAATACAAGGAGTCTGTTTGTATGGTCTTAGAGAATGCTTCATCAGACGTAAAAAAAAAAAACTTTTTTAAATTTCAAATTTCAAGAAAGGTTAACCTTTCCCTCTCCACCAACCACTACCTGTTTCCTGTAGTATTAAAAGTTTATAAGCCCCTTATTAACTTAAAAACCTGAAAACTGTTTCCAAAAAACAAGAATACTTCTACATCGTCATGAAAAGCATAGACAAGAGTGCACACCCTGAAATGTCTCGCCTTCTTTACTAATCATTGATATTATGTTGATAGTCCTAAATATAAAGCTTTATTACAACTGTCACATAAACTTCACATTAACCAAGTAAACTAAACATTGACCAATGAACCATGAAAATGAGGTCAAGGTCAGATGAACCATGCTAGGCAGGCATGTACAGCTAACAATTCTTCCATACAACAAATATAGTTGACCTATTGCTTATAGTTTAAGAAAAACAGACGAAAACACAAAAACTTAACACTGAGCAATGAACCTTGAAAATGAGGTCAAGGTCAAATAAAACCTGCGTGACTGACATATAGATCATAAAATATTTCCATACTCCAAATATAGTTGAACTATTGCATATAGTATTAGAAAAAAAGACCAAAACTCAAAAACTTAACTTTGACCACTGAACCATGAAAATGAGGTCAAGGTAAGATGACACCTGCCAGCTAGACATGTACACCTTACAATCATTCCATACACCAAATATAGCTGACCTATTGCATGCAGTATTAGAAAAAAAGACCAAAACTCAAAAACTTAACTTTGACCACTGAACCATGAAAATGAGGTCAAGGTCAGATGACACCTGCCAGCTAGACATGTACACCTTACAATCATTCCATACACCTAATATAGTAGACCTATTGCATACAGTATAAGAAATACAGACCAAAACACAAAAACTTAACTATAACCACTGAACCATGAAAATGAGGTCAAGGTCAGATGACACCTGCCAGTTGGACATGTACACCTTACAGTCCTTCCATACACCGAATATACTAGACCTATTGCTTATAGTATCTGAGATATGGACTTGACCACGAAAACTTAACCTTGTTCACTGATCCATGAAATGAGGTCGAGGTCAAGTGAAAACTGTCTGACGGGCATGAGGACCTTGCAAGGTACGCACATACCAAATATAGTTATCCTATTACTTATAATAAGAGAGAATTTAACATTACAAAAAATCTGAACTTTTTTTTCAAGTAGTCACTGAACCATGAAAATGAGGTCAAGGACATTGGACATGTGACTGACGGAAACTTCGTAACATGAGGCATCCATATACAAAGTATGAAGCATCCAGGTCTTCCATCTTCTAAAATATAAAGCTTTTAAGAAGTTAGCTAAGGCCGCCGCCGCCGGATCGCTATCCCTATGTCGAGCTTTCTGCGACAAAAGTCGCAGGCTGGACAAAAATATAGTTTATGTAGTCCATTGCACTTCATCGGTACCACCATCGTAATTCAGCATAACTATCAACAAGATAACGTCACAATGCCACCATCATAATGTCAATATCTGGTCATACATGTACATACATGTATCAGTAAACTTTTATATACAGGTAACTGTTCTTGGTTTTCCAATTCAGAATCTTAACTCTTACCATTCTGGGGCCATTATATTATGGCCTGTACCCAAAATATGTTTTGTATGGCTCCTATTGTAATGGCTCTCTATACATGCTATATATTTTCAGAGGTGAGATGAATTATATTCTTTTTCGAAATTCATGCATGTTCCCTGAACCTTAGGTTACTCATTGTCATGTTCCTCAGGTTTAAGGTGCAGTTTGAGCCCAAATAAAACTTAAGAATTGCAATTGCGCTTCAGGAAGTATGGGCTTTCCTTCTGTGTCTGGTCCATGCAGTACAGTGGTCTAGAACTTCCAAAAACCTTGTAAACTGACAGGAATATAACTGATGAAAGTATTTATTATTCAAATAGGCTTTGGGAATGAATACTTCTAGTTGCAGGTCCAGGTGAAGCCAAAAATCAGAACAAGAGTGCACACGCTGAAATGTCTCGCCTTCTTTACTAATCATTGATATTATGTTGATAGTCCTAAATATAAAGCTTTATTACAACTGTCACATAAACTTAACATTAACCAAGTAAACTAAACATTGACCAATGAACCATGAAAATGAGGTCAAGGTCAGATGAACCATGCTAGGCAGGCATGTACAGCTAACAATTCTTCCATACAACAAATAGAGTTGACCTATTGCTTATAGTTTAAGAAAAACAGACCAAAACACAAAAACTTAACACTGAGCAATGAACCTTGAAAATGAGGTCAAGGTCAAATAAAACCTGCGTGACTGCCAAATAGATCATAAAATATTTCCATACACCAAATATAGTTGAACTATTGCATATAGTATAAGAAAAACAGACCAAAACACAAAAACTTAACTATAACCACTGAACCATGAAAATGAGGTCAAGGTCAGATGACACCTGCCAGTTGGACATGTACACCTTACAGTCCTTCCATACACCAAATATACTAGACCTATTGCTTATAGTATCTGAGATATGGACTTGACCACCAAAACTTAACCTTGTTCATTGATCCATGAAATGAGGTCGAGGTCAAGTGAAAACTGTCTGAAGGGCATGAGGACCTTGCAAGGTACGCACATACCAAATATAGTTGAACTATTGCACATAGTATTAGAAAAAAAGACCAAAACTCAAAAACTTAACTTTGACCACTGAACCATGAAAATAAGGTCAAGGTCAGATGACACCTGCCTGCTAGAAATGTACACCTTACAATCATTCCATACACCAAATATAGTAGACCTATGGCATACAGTATAAGAAAAACAGACCAAAACACAAAAACTTAACTATAACCACTGAACCATGAAAATGAGGTCAAGGTCAGATGACACCTGCCAGTTGGACATGTACACCTTACAGTCCTTCCATACACCGAATATACTAGACCTATTGCTTATAGTATCTGAGATATGGACTTGACCACCAAAACTTAACCTTGTTCATTGATCCATGAAATGAGGTCGAGGTCAAGTGAAAACTGTCTGACGGGCATGAGGACCTTGCAAGGTACGCACATACCAAATATAGTTGAACTATTGCACATAGTATTAGAAAAAAAGACCAAAACTCAAAAACTTAACTTTGACCACTGAACCATGAACATGAGGTCAAGGTCAGATGACACCTGCCCGCTAGACATGTACACCTTACAATCATTCCATACACCAAATATAGTAGACCTATGGCATACAGTATAAGAAATACAGACCAAAACACAAAAACTTAACTATAACCACTGAACCATGAAAATGAGGCCAAGGTCAGATGACACCTGCCAGTTGGACATGTACACCTTACAGTCCTTCCATACACCGAATATACTAGACCTATTGCTTATAGTATCTGAGATATGGACTTGACCACCAAAACTTAACCTTGTTCACTGATCCATGAAATGAGGTCGAGGTCAAGTGAAAACTGTCTGACGGGCATGAGGACCGTGCAAGGTACGCACATACCAAATATAGTTATCTTATTACTTATAATAAGAGAGAATCTAACATTACAAAAATTCTTAACTTTTTTTTCAAGTAGTCACGTGCACTGAACCATGAAAATGAGGTCAAGGACATTGGACATGTGACTGACGGAAACTTCGTAACACGAGACATCCATATACAAAGTATGAAGCATCCAGACCTTCCACCTTCTAAAATATAAAGCTTTTAAGAAGTTAGCTAACGCCGCCGCCGCCGGATCGCTATCCCTATGTCGAGCTTTCTGCGACAAAAGTCGCAGGCTCGACAAAAATGCAGATGTTTGGTTGAAATGGTATTCTTTAGACTGCCATACCCATGGTACCAAGATCTGTTTCACTCAGACCTAAGCATTTTTGTGGGTCATGTGTTCATTTGGGTCCACTCTCTATGCAGACTACGGTGAGACACATGTACAAATGTATCTGCATACTGGGGTCTTGCAGGTCAAGAAATAGGATGAAAAATCTTCAGAATTATACATTCTGCACCCAATGACCGAATGCACAATCTTTCATTGTTAGCTTTTAAAAATATTAAACTAAAGGGCAAAAAATTCTGATATACTGCAGATGTACCATTATTAATGTTTCCCAAGAAACATGAAAGTGTTTAGTAATCCTAATATAACAAGCAGTCTGAGAGTATTGCATAGCAATACATAGTCCCCTACCGGTTAAGAATTCATTGTACTGGAATAAAATGCTAACCTGATTTATAACTGGTCATGGTGTAAAATATATAACAAATATAAAGTCAATATCTTTAAGCATGACAAAAAAAGTTTGGAAAACTGATTATTTGAGTGAGTTTTCTAAGTCTAAGGACCATAACTCTGCACAAAATCATTAGACTGGAACAAAATTTGAACTTGATCTGTAACTTGTCATGAGAAAACTATCAGTCAGGGGTACTACTTGTACAAGTAATCTTTTTTTACTTAAAGAAGTTAATATTTATATACTTATATAAGTAAATTTGTAGGATAC